AAAAAACTACAATGTTACTAAAGTGACATGAGGGTTTGTACCTGGCTATTTATTTTTCCTCAATTGAGGACAACTGTATGTTTAAAAAAAATGGAATATATGTCTTTATGCCATATACGAGATAGATTACTGGTGACATGCAAGAAGTTAGTGACAGTCAGTGCAGTTGTCCAGTAGCTATGAAGTAACCCTTGTTGCCAGTAAAGCAGTGAGCTGAACCTTTACTTAGAAATGGTGGTACTTTACTATCACCAGTTGTCATTATTGTAATGAACCCGTTAGCCCTCAACTGCATTGCCTTCGCTTGGATACTCTGGTGGAAGCACATCGTCAGTAAGCAGAAATCCTACCAGAGGAAACTGACGGCAAGAGGTAAAATGTTCTTCCACTTGCAGGGGGATGCTCAAAGGGAAGAGCCTAAAACAAAGCCCGGGCAGTCACAGCTTTGCCGGACTGAGTATGAATGTGAAACCCTGCGTGTAAACAGAAAGCGTTTGTTTAGAGCCAGCAGTTTGGTCTAGACGGTTAAATACACACACGCGCACGCGCGCACACACACACACACACACACACTTATAGATACGTGTGTATGTATGCACCTAGTTACACAGAAAACCTTGAGTCTTTGCTTGTTCTGAGGCTGTTAAAAACACCGTGATATACTGTGTTTTAGTAAAGGGGCACTATAGAAACTACTGGTATTCCTTTAAAGGTTAGTTTGAAGATTTAAAAAAAATACATATATAAAAATTAGCTGTTTTTTTTCCCACAGAAGCTTTTAACATTAGCGGATTTTAATAGTTATTACACAAAAGCACATCAGCAATAATTTACCAGCAAGATCCCTTAATGGTCTAGTGTGTAATATATTAGAGTGGTAGCCAGTGACCTGTGATGTGGCTCCTTATTTCCCAACTGTAAAGAGAGAGGAGTAAGGACTAAAAATATTTTTATTGAAATCTAAGCTTTTACTATGTCTCTAGTCTTGATGTGGTAATGAGTTTCTGTTACAGCAGTCAATAATTTTATTCTTTAGCCTTCTGTCAGAATGACTTGTTTCGACAGTACGCCACTGAGATTGAAGTTTTCTGTGCAAAGTGTAATGGTTGTAATGTTGCTTGAAGGAAGGCTTCCAGAAACAGAGCTCTCTTGTGTCGACAGCTCTCTGGTTAAACAAAAAAAGAAAAACCTATCTATTGTTACAACAAAATTCTGATCAGAAAATTAAATCTGCCGGGGCTGTGCTGGTAAAAAGGGATGGATTTGGTGTCACTGGTGCCACACAGCAAGTGCGACAGCCTGGAACCTCCTTGGGCGGCTGCAAGCCAAGCGCCTGTCTGTCCCTGTGCCGCCCCGGGGGTCTTGGCGCTGCAGGGCTGGACGGGGACCCCAGCGCTCGGTAGGTTTGACGGCTGTTGCACGCTGCAGAGCGACTGTTGGTGCACAGACTGTACACCCTTCAGTAGGCTCATGATTTGGTACAAACCTAAACAACTGCACTTAATGCTTTTGCAAGCTTAATAGTGCCTTTTGTAACATATTTCTTTTTTAATTAAATTCTTGTTCTTTTAGAAATTTAAAAGAAAAAAGTGGCATCCACTTACTATGGGCACATTAAATACAGGGTTTTTTCTGGGCTTTCTGAACAGAACATATTTTAATGGCGCACTCTCTCATTTTAAGTTTGATTATTTGCTGCGCTAGCTCTCTGCTGTGGGAGAGCATTCCTATTTTAGAAATTCTTGGGGAAAAAAAAAAAAAAAAAGGCTTATGTGTAGCTCTTTATAGTTAAACCTATTTCCCATGAGCTGGACCTTAGAAAGAGCTATTTTACACAAATGACTGCTATTTGGTGAGTCCAGACTACTGGCTGGGGGTGGTGGTGGGGTGTCATTCTTTAAGGGACATTTAAAAAACAAAACAAAACAAAACATAACCTGCTGTTACCAAGTATATTAACTGGTTTTTTTTTTCATAAGGTTTTTGCAGCAGTCTCCATGGTCTCAAAACAACATTTTGGGTCCCAAATTCCTACAGTAAGAATTTTTTTGTTTGTTTTGTGTTTGGGTTTTTTTCAGGTTAATTTTGTTTTTTTAAAATAATTTAATGTGAGTTATGTCTTTGTCATTCTGGAGAAATTGTTCAGATGATGACTAATTGCCCAATACCATGTTAAAGCCAAATCCCTGGGGGAAGTTGCTGTGCGCAGCTGTGGTTTTCCACCCTGGTCCTTCCTGAGCTGTCACATGGCACCGTTGCCCTTTTGATAAGCGTTTGTTCCAGAGCCGTGAGACTGAAAACTAACACTCGAGTGCTTCTTCATTTTTGTCCTTTTTACCTTTGTCATGCTTTGCTTTTTTTAATATTTAAATGTATATTACTGGTATGTACATGTAGACAGACACAAACACACACACCCTCCACCCCCACCCCCTGCCCTTCACTTTGTAATTTTGTTTTGGTTCAGTCAAGAGAGTATTTTTTTTAACTGTGCTACATAATGTGCATTAGTCCAGTTGTACTGCATCTTAAGAGGTCATTTTTCTAACAATGTATTTACTTCAGCTATTAAAAGAAAATAGCCATTTCTGTAGTGATTTGAGCATTCATGATTGTGAAGAGAGCATTTCCATGCTGAGCCTCTGAAGAATCAGAGTGATACTGCTTGATTCATGTTTTCTTGTCCAAAAGGCACAAAAGACTAGTTCTAGTTTGTTTGGGTTTGGTTTTTTAATTAGCCCAGTGTCATGTTACAAATAGAAAGTTACCCCATTTTCTAGTGAAAAATCACGGAGTAGCTGCAAGTGTCACCCCGTGGTTAGTTTGTGGGGTGTAGCAGTAAGTAGCTGGTTGAGAACCATGACATGCAAAGCACTGTTTTCTCCAGGCCTTGATAACACAACTGCACACATCTTTTGTGTGTGCGTGCATGACAACATTGCCTTATGCCACTGAAGACTTGGAAGAAGAGTCTCAAAATGTTTAAGACAGGAAGTCCAAATATGATAAAAATTATGCACTTAATTTTAAATTTCTTACTTTCACCCCCACAACTTAAGTGCCTCTGAAAACGCTGCTAATTTCTGTAACTGTGCAAAGAGGTGGTGTGTGTGTCCTCTGGCTGCCCACCAGGACTGTACTTGTTGGCATGGGGGATCAAGAAGGGTATGTATGTGAGAGGGTATGTGTACACACACACATATAACAATGCACAGAATCTTCATCTTACCAGCTTTGGTGCTCCTGTTCCAGGTGGTGGTAAGTGCCCTGTAACTCCCAAACCGCCAGGAGCCAAAGGGCTGGGACTAGAGTGCAGCTGTCCCCTCCTGTATGCTGCAGTGCTTGCACATGTGTTTCTGTAGATGATTAGATAATTACCTGAGCTAGCTACTCTCTCAAGGTTACATTTCATACATTTGGAGTTAAAAGGACAAATTGGTAGATGAACTGTTGCCCGGGCAACATGGGACACAAAGGCTGCTCAGCTGGCAGAAACCCACCCACTACTGCCATGTGCTCTGCCGCAGACGGTCATACCATTATTCAACTGAAGAGACAAGAAAGACAAGTTATTTTATTCAAAACTTTTAAAAAGTTAATAAACTGATAAATTATTCTCATTGCATCAATGAGAGATACATCGCGATGGTTTCCTCTTACCCCCACAACTTGCACTACACAATGATCGTGTTTTGTTCCCTACTAGCCCCATGTTCCTTGAAATCATCCTGATGTAGCAGTTCTGCATCAAACAAGCCATTAGACCCCGTCTCGCTAAGGTGTGTGCCATGATTATGCTTCATGTGGCTCTGACAGGAGCGTGTTTAGAGGCTCACCAACATTCTTGGTGATAAGAGAACCGGTCAAACAAGTTACTTATGTTTGCTGGCCTATCACCAAGGCCAACTATGCATATGGTGAAACCATTCAACGTTCCAGGTATTATGTGATCCAAGTCACTACACCAGTTCAGGTTCCTGGCAAACATCCTTAAGATGAAACATGTCTCAGCCCTCCCCTCACAAATGGAACCCAGTTCTCAGCCACCTGCATTTTTCCTAGCACAAGTCCAGCAGTATCAGAGCTGTACAAAGGCGCTGCTTCAGGCATTTTGCCTGATGGCCGCACTATGCCCTGAGCCTAGAAAAGTTGTCCCACAGATGCTTTTTCACCATTCAGGCAACAGTAGTTTTAAGCAGCAGTTTGCTCCAATACAGCAGAACCTCTGACCTGAAGTCTCACTACCTTGAACCCAGTGGTGTTATTTCTCTATTCTGAAAGCAAGGGATCAACAAATTAAATACAACTCAATGGGAGAAAACACTCAAAAATGTCGGAGTCAGTAACTGGAAGCACTTGCAGGATTGCTGCTTTCCTCTCCTTCCATCTCACTGCTACAAATGCATCCCTACAGCCTTCTACAGACCAGGTTTTAGTTAAAGGCTTTACGAGACTGAGAAACATTGTTCAGAATAGCTTAAAGTACTTCCTGAGCAGCAGTTAATTCTAGCACCATGGCTCTGAGGCAACTGTTGGGGTTTTTTTTACCCTCTTTGCTTTATGCTTATGACCTCCAGGCACAGTTTACATGAGCTTTTTGGGGGCAGAGGGGAACAATGACACAACATAAACATACACCCTCAACAGCTTACAGAAATCAAAGCCTTATCCCTTTGTCCTTTGAACAGCAGAATACCCTGTTTGTCATTTCTTCTGCAGGAGCTGAGAAAAGCAGGCTCATCTTCAGTTTTTAGCTGCAGTGTGACACAAGGCTGTTCCTTCCGGTTCCCACACCAGTTGCTTTCCTGCACAAGAAAAATACCCACAGGAGCAAGCTTTGGTTATAGAAATTCACAGGGGGCAGGGGGAAAGTCAGTGCTCTTGCACCTGCTGAGCACACAGACATTCAATCTCTTTGTATCCCACAGCTCAGCTTTGAGTTTTGGGGAGTACTTGAGGACTGGACAGCTTCAGGCATACAAAGATTTCTTCTTTTCTGGACTGAAAGGCAGATATGAATACGTATGAAGGAGGCAAGGGGCTAAAGGACATTTTTAAGACAGCATCACACCCCAACATAACCAATAAAAATCTAGTGGTACTGTAGCTGAATGTACTAGTGCAAAGAGACTAGAGGCAGCTCCTGGACAGCCGTCAGTTTTGCTCATTCAGGTGCGCGTGATTTTATCTGGAGGCATGAAACCTGTGTCACCCAGTGTTCGAAGCGCCACCCTTCCATTTGGACGTATCACCAAGTGAGTTATACTGCCGTTGTTAAGAGACATTCGTAGCCAGCCTTCAGGAGGGAACTGCAATGCTCTAAAATAAATAAATAAAAATTTAAATAGTTATTAATTTGTAAACAGATATATTAACATGCCGCTCACAGCATCACCTTCTGTTCCAGATAAGGAAAAAAAGGAAAATGGTTGGTCATTCTGCAGCGTACGTGCTAAAGCTCCCACAGCCAGCCCTAGAAAAAATATTTTTCTTGTGCAATTGATATGAAAACGCAGCGTCTATACCTGGACCAATGGCAGCAATGCACTTGCGTAAGCTGAGTGCAGCAGGTGGGTATGATTATTGTAATGGGTTAATTCAAATCGACAGAGGGTAGAAGCTCTAACATAGTCAGGTTGCTGGGAGCACTCTGAGCAACCTCATAACAGACAGGAGGATAGACAGCATAGGTTCAAGTTGGCCACTGAGCCAACTGCAGCACCACAGAACCCTGCACAGTTCAGGACAGGTAGAGCAGACGGCTCACCACCCCACTGGCCTCCTCCGCAGACCAAAGGCATAAGTGGCAAACAGCACACTTATGCACTATTTTAGCCGAATCAACATGGGTAGGTATGTAACAACAGCAGAGATGAGGTAGTGAGACAGGATTCATTCTACTTGCCTGTGTGTGCCTATGGAAGAAATTCACAGAACTACTTGCCACCAGCTGTATTGTTCCCCAGAAGCGGCATGAAAAAGTACATTGTGCTTTCTGTATAACCACAGTATCACAGCCAGTCTCCAGCTATTCTAAAATCCCTAACTGAATAGCGTCAGGAGTTCCATCAATCGTAGTAAAACAGATGGAGAAAATATGAAGTTGTCACAAACACTTTTTTGCCTCAGATACTACAGAATAACTTGGGTTTGGCTCTATGACAGTCTTTTAGAAAGGCTAAGAAATTAAGTAACAGCTACAGTTAAGCTAGATTCAAAGGAAACACTAAATGCATTGTGTTCAATTGTGATATCAGATAGCCTGCAGTGGAAGGCACAGAAGAGAAGTTAAAAAGAAGAAGGAAGAAACAGCAAAGAGAAAAAGTATATGGCTATTTCAGAAAAACCCTAGGTAGCAGAAAGATGATCTCTTTTGCTACAGGAAAGAACATTCTGTTTACCTGATCAATAATTTTAAGTATAGCAATTTTGAAAAGCTCTAAAACAATCCACAGAGCAGACAGGCTAGGATTTAACTAGCTCAGCTAAATAAAGCTAACTGAAATTGTTGTAGGTATTGATCAGATTAAAGTTTAATCACATATGTCCTGCTCAAGACAAATTATCTTACAGACAGTGCTTTGTTGATAGGGAAGAGGAATAAAAGACTCAGCTGACTGGATACAGAGACAGGCAAAGATCCAGAACTATTTTCTCCTTCATGAACAACCTTGATGTTAGCAGAAAGATCCACTCTCCCCTCTAACCCAATACAGGGTGTTACTGCAAAACCACACTAATACAACTTGAACATAATACAAAAATTTTCATTAGTAAAAATTCCCAAAACTAAATCAGTCTTTTGTTATGCAAGATCAAACTCACATCATCTCAAAAAGATGCATCCAGCCAGATGTTCTATTTGTTGTCTTTTCCAACAGTCCACACAGGCATCTTCCTCAGGTTTATGGGAAGCAGAAGCTTATGGTATTAGAGACTGTTCAGATGTACAAAAAGGTTTCGAGCCTCACCAATTTAGCCATTTTCACTTTAGAATTAGAATGCAAGTCTTCTGATTTTCAAATTTGTCCTCTATCTGCAAATTAATCCTGTGATGAAGTTGCAGAAGCAGCCACTCGTATTGCAGGCACTGACTTCCAACAACTTCAAACAAGCCAAATCAACCCAACTCCTCGCCCAGTGGTGCCATACACCAACACTATGTCAGTAAAACTACGACCTTTTAAAGCACACAGATGAACACGCAATCCAACATGTACCTGCACACAATATAGCGGATGACGTTGGCATGGCAGACAAAGATTTCGTAGCTGTCTTCTTCCTGCTTTGCATCAGCTCTATGAATGAAGTTTCGAAAAGCAGCCTCAATTCGAGCTCCATCTTCATAATACTGCTAATGGCACAGAGTTCAGAATTAAACACAGCTCAGAGCATCACATGCCATCGTCTGCACATGCAAATGGACTGCGTCTTCTGAAGAGTTCTACTTTACAGGGATGCACATTGGAGGCTGAACTAATACTTAAGGATTGTAAGTTATTTTAACTGTTCTGTAGGCTTACTGGGGAGGAGAACAGCATGCAATTATCTAAGTTCTATGATGAAAAGCACCAGCTCAGACACTGCAAGTTATTGCTACTGTCAATATGAAGTATATTAAAAAACCCAAACAAATACAGAAAAAAGTTACCACAGCTTCAGGTTTCCAGTGAGAGACTGGAGGGTCTGGTTCTATAGGTGCTCCCTCTCTCAGCAGATCAGTACTTATTTTTTTGACTCCTAAAATATTAAATAGATACTCAGAAAGGAGTTGTTACTTCACCTACCACTGCAAAGAGGCACACAACTCTACAATTAATACATTTTTTTACATTCTTTCTTCAAGGAAATCTTCCTCTCCTTCCTGAAGACTATTTTAGTCTACACACTTCCTATCAAGGTGTGTGAGTCTCTCCAACACAACTGTTCTGTCATCAGCAAGACAAAGTTTATTCAGACTAAGAAGAGCCAGACCAGCCTGGCACAGCAAACTGAGTCTTCCCAATCTGCTGCACTTGGAAGAAATGCACTTGCAAGGATGTTAATCTAAAGCTGTATGACAGTTAATGCTTACTCCTAATGCTAATGCTACACTTCGTATTTAATATTAACATTTTAATATCTTAATCTGAGGAAGGAAAGATGGTTTAGGTGGGGTGGTTTTTTGTTTGTTTAGGAGCTTGAGGGGTTGTTTGGGGTTTTTTGTTTTGTTGATTTGGGGTTTTTTTGCAGCAGCAGCATGTTTAATAAAACAAACACAGAATGGTTAAGACAACCGACATTCAGCTTGTCATACCTGAATATCTGCTAAAATACCACACAGAATTATGTATAGTGAAATATTTTTAGTTTAGATTCTGGTATGTCTGAACATCAGGAGGAAAAAATCCAATAAAACACCAAAAAACCCACAACAACCCAAACCCCCATATAAACAAAGCACCCGTGTTAAAAAAAACCTACACCTTTTTGAGTGTGCCGCATCGTCCCCTGCACACAGCATAGCAGAGCACACAAGAAGGGCCTGTTAACTAACCCAGCAAGCATCACTACAAGCTGATATTGTGTTTATGATCCTCTTCTCTCCTGTGCTATTGCCCGCCCGAGACTGAGGACTAAGCCAAGCCTGATGACCTGTGACAGTCACTTTACGAAATGCCTAATTGAAGAGCAACGGGCAGAGTTCTGCACAGCAGTATGTACAGGTAGCAGCTAGTCACTCAGAGGGGCAGATCCCTCTTTTTTTTTTTAAAGATGAACTGGAAACAAGCAGAATTAGGGTAGTTAGTTTCTTTATAAATACAGACATATTCACACAGGGCTGAAAGTTGGCTAAGTAACATCTCAACCTTAAAGACAAGCTCAGAATTCTAATGGAAGTGGGTTTAAGGATCAGAAGACAACAAATTAAGGGAAGTCACTTACCTGGGAGATGTTTGCTTATAATTTCAGTTGTTTCAGTTGCTCTGGTCATGGAGGAGTGGATAATCTGATCAAATTTTAATCCCAAGCTTGCCAGCCTGTGTCCAGTCAGTTCAGCCTGCTCTCGACCTTAAAAATGATATTCATTATATAAATTGGTGACACCCATGTAAGCGCCTCGCACAAACTACCAAAAAAGGTTGTCCAGAAGACATAAGGTCTCCATCAGTGTCAGTTTTTTTCCTTTCAAAAAGTAGTTGGAAAATATTTTTACCAGAGTCACTACTTCTTCAGATCAAGCTTATTGGCTGGACAATTTCAAGTTGTATTTTCATCA